AAAGGCCAAGAGCGTTGAGAATTGAAGTTGTCTTGACAATTGTGGAAAGTATAAAGAAAGCTCAAGAGGAAGCTTTAGAGAAAAATGACCGAAAGGAAGAACGTTTGGGATAAAACGTTAGTGTTTGATACAAACGGTCAAGGACTGAAGGTATTCAAAGATAGGATTTGGGTACCTAAGATGGGAGGAGTAAGAGATCTTCTAATGGAAGAAGCTCACAAGACCATGTACTCGATTCATCCCGGCAGTATAAGAATGTATAGGGACCTAAAACCCTATTACTGATGGCCGACGATGAAGCTCGATGTTTTTAAGTATGTGGCCGAGTGTGTAACATGTGCTAGGGTTAAGGCACAACATCAGAAACCGTATGGGAGTTTAGAACCTTTGCCTGTACCCATGGGTAAATGGGAAGGTATCACTATGGATTTTGTGACTAAACTGCCCAGAACAAGGAATGGTCACGACATGATTTAGGTGGTCGTTGATTGCTTCACTAAGAGTGCGCATTTCATAGCCGCTAACGAGAAATTGACTATGGATAAACTTGCGAATTCTTACGTGAAGCAAATTGTGAGGCTACACGGTGTTCCGTTAACGATTGTATCCGATCGTAACAGCCGTTTTACCTCAAGGTGTTGGAGGAGTCTGTAAGAGGAATTGGGTACCAAGTTGTGTTTGAATACGGCTTACCATCCGCAAACCGATGGTCAGAGCGAACGAACGATTCAAACATTGGAGGATATGCTGAGAGCATGTACCCTAGAATTCCAAGGTAACTGGGATGAACACTTACCTCTAGTAGAATTTTCCTATAATAATAGTTTCCACTCAAGCATTAAGATGGCACCTTATCACGCTTTGTATGGGGAAAAGTGTCGAACGCCATCATGTTGGCTGGAAGCTGGGGAAAAGCAGTTTATGGGACCTGAAATAGTCCATCAAACTGCTGAAAAGTTGAAAGTGATAAGGGAGAGGATGTTAGCTGCTCAAGATCGACAAAAGAGCTATGCTGACAAGAAAAGACAACCGATATCCTTCGAAGTTGGAGATTCGGTTTTACTTAAAGTCTCGTCGTGGAAGGGACTTATAAGATTTGGTAAGAGGGGAAAATTGGGTCCAAGGTTTATTGGACCATTTAAAGTTCTTCAGAGAATCGGGAATCAAGCTTACAATCTAGAATTACCGGAAGAACTGGAGGGTATTCATAACACCTTTCGTGTGTGTTATTTAAGAAAATTTACTGGAGATGTGCCCGACATAATTCTCATTTCTAAATTAAGGTTGGATGAAAACAAGAGGTTGATTAAAGAACCTGAGGCAATCGTTGACCGTAAGACTAGGAAGTTGTAACGTAAGATAGTCGATTTAGTGCTTGTGCGATGGAAACATATAAATGGGCCAAATCCCACCTGGGAAACGGAGAGTGACATGGTGAGTCGCTACCCGTAGTTGTTTGTTGTTGTGTGATTCCGGGGACGGAATCATCCTAAGGGGGAGAGAGTTGTAACGCCCGTGTTTCTAGACTAGGCATTAATATTGACATAATGGTCTAGGTTAACCTTTGTGACTCATTTTGAATAAATGAAAAAGGAATTATGTGAATTCTATGTGTTTTATGTGTTTTATGCTTAATTACTAGGAGTTAATTAATTAAGAATAAAAATAAGCGTCAAAATTAAATTTTAGATAAAGCCGATATCTATTAAGAAAGTTGTAGTGGTCGTGACAAGGATTACGGATATATAAAGAATGCCGAAATCCGAGTTATAACGAAGAAGTTATGACCTGTCGAAGTTTCACGACAAAACCAGCTCGGTGCTGAATGTCGTAAAAAGTGAGTTTTCGATAAACTACTTTTTAGCCTTGGTAATCTAAACGAAACTTGTAGTGTTGGTTAAACCGAGAAGTTCGATAAAAAGAACGCCCGAATCTGACTTCGTATGAGGAAGTTATGATTTTTCGAAGTTTCAGCTTAGCAGTAGACAGCTAAAAACTCGAATTTTAGATCGAGTGATTTTTAGCCGACACAACCTAAACGAGAATCGAAGGTCTCGTAAATATTAGCACAACGGTAAAAAGTCTGACGAAAACGGACGTCGGATGAAGAAGTTATGAATTTTTAACGGATTTCCTGTCCCGGTCTATTAAAAATAATAATATAAAAATTAAAGTCAAAATTAGCCGACGAAGTCTAAACGGAAGTTGTAGAGCGTAATTTTACCTACGCGTGCATATAAAGAACGTCAAAAACAGAGCTCGTATGCGAAAGTTATGGATTTTAGAAGTTTTTGCACAAAAACCGAGAAAATTCGCATAGTCACAATTGCCACGTCACCCTCGCTTAGAATATGACACGTGTCCGAAATCTGTGACTCATGCGAAGCCACGTGGCGAAGCTGCTGAGTCATCCGAGCACATGGCCTTATCCGAAGCGGTCCAGTAGCCATGCGACACGTACCCTCTTAGCACGAGACCGAACCCTCGCTGACTGCCACGGTGCCTAGGCTTCGGACCCGTAGACCTCGGTCCAATAGGAGACTGCCAGCGAGCCTTCGCAGGTGCGACCCACGTGCAGCCCTCGTGCGAGCCTCCTCTGCGAGCCGTCGGATCCGCGGAGCGTGGCCACTTCTCAGCCATTGGATCAGGAGGCTCGGCCCTATAAATACAAGGGTGCAAGACCTCCCGGGGGTACTTTTGAAAATTGTCAATTTTAGCCCCTAAACTCATATTTCTTTCATATTATCACCCCCCGAAGCCCCGGTATCAATTATAAGCCCGGAATACGCCACGAAGTGCCCGTGAAGCCCGGAAAATTTATCTTTTCGGTTTCGAAGCCCGACTTTTGCAGAGCCTGGTTTCTCAATAAAACTCCCGGTTTTATTAGAAACGATCGTTTTAGGAAACGAATTGTTGCCCGATTTTCAATAAATCAGGTGAGTGTGTAGTTATTTTCACCTTACACATAGATATGAAGTATTTTACATAAAATACGTGTTATGTGAATATATATTGTTTGTTTATTTGAGATGGGTGTTGAAGGAATGATTTATACAGGTTTTTAAATAATTTAAACTGTATATGTATTTTTATCTATGAAAAATGTTGGGTAAAACATGGGTAGATGAAATAGTGGGTGTGATGAAAGGTGAGTTGGATAAAGGAGATGATTAGTAATATTGATCATTAGTTGAGGGTGAGTGGTGAAATTTGAGAGAATCACTTACCCAAAATGTTGACCTCCGTCATTTAGCAGAGTATGGATGACAACCATGGACTATTCTAGACAGTCTGTGGAACACTAGCATGCCCGCAACCTGTAGGTGTAATGAACTATATGTTCATTTGATGTACTCTAAAAACCCATTGACATGTATTGCAGGGGGGAATACCTGTAAATAATACTGTCGATAAATGAGAGTTATGAACTTAGCATATGTTGAATAAACCTTGGCAGCTATGGACTTAGTGCCTGTTGTATAAACCCTGGTGATGGTGTGACCTTGTGCCTATTCCTTAGGATGAATCCTTAGGAAGGAGTGATAGTTGAATCTTAGGGTAAACCCTTAAGAAATTAATAAGATAATGGGGTTGGGGTAATTTGGTTGATTGATTGATGTTTAATTACAATAAATTTATTTATTGTGGGTTGAAAACCCTATATGCTCACCAGGCTTCCAAGCCTGACCCACTCAGCTTTTTATAATTACAGGTAGTGGACCCCGAGCATAGTCGGATGATGATGATGAGTGATTTATGGATTATAGGCCAGTAGTTATAAATAACTGTTGTAAGGCTTATAATGTCTTGTTTATGCTTTTGATCTGTATCAGAACATGACATCCCGAGGTTTTAATATAAAAAGGAAATTATATATTTCTTAAAGAAAGGTTTTGATAAACTTTTATCATATGTTGTTTTGGGGACCAATTCCGCAACATCTTTTAAAAAGATTCTCTGATTTTATTTTAAAAAGCATAAATTAAATCGGTCTTTTCTGGCCGAGAAATTAGGGGATGTCACAAATACTCTCCAAAAAATGCATCATCCTTGCATTTTCCTCACCGTCCAACTTCATGACATCAGATTTAGCTGTGTTTCTACAAATCGGCCTAAAAAGTGGTTGGAGCCTCTGTAAAAAATCTCTAAAGCCTTCGTGTTCAACAATTCTAAGTGGGTAATCATGTTTTGTGATCATTTTAGCAAGATCGGTTCGCGACTCATCATAATTAAACCGATGTGTTGCTAAAATTGACCCCCCACTTTCATCCGTCTTAGATCTTTTTCCGGTTAACTGACTCTGAAAATCATCAATTTTCTTTTGCCCATTTCGTATTTTGCATGACTTATGGTGAGTATGCATCCCGTTGGTTCCATTTTTGGTTGTATAAGTAATTTCCTTCCTACAATACTTACAAACAACCTTTTTGGTTCCATTGACTTCTTCATAGGTGAAATGAAGCCACATTGGAGATATAAATTTCATTTGTTTCTCCTTACAGTTAACTGCAGAATTGGTGGTATCATTAACCATGTTTGAATCATTGGGTTGATTCGGCTCTGCTGAAGACATGATTACAAAAATCTGAAAATGGTTCACACAAATATAAAAATCAGCATTATTTTTTCATAGAAATAACAAAATCTATAAACAACTACAGTAAGATCCCATAATCTATCAACATTAGACTTATGGTCAAGTAGAACAAGCAAAGGAAATTGGTGAGAAAACACAGCAACAGACAGTGAGAAAACACAGTGACAATATTAGAAAAAGAAACATGCGTATATCAATTGTAGTCTAACCACTATAAAACCTAATCATCCTTCAACCAATAAACCAAGAGAGCCTCATAATCAAAATTACAGTGAGAAAACACAACAACAAACCGTAACTTGACCATAAGTTAAACATATTAAGATTTTCAACTATCATAGTGAACAAACTGAGATATAGAATACAACACAACACCAAACCATAAAATACACAACAACAAACCATGAAATACGCAACAACAAACCTTAAGTTACAGTGTTACACAGAAATCAGAGGTGAGAAACAGAATTCGTGAGCCAACAGTCGAGGGTAAATCAAAGTATCAATTATCAAACAATCCATAAATCAAATTTTCAAGTCTCAATTGTATCAGAGAAGGAAAGAAGGAAATTAAGGGTACATTACCACTTACCGGGATGTGAAGTCACATGCTGAAGACCGAATAAAGCTGATTCTGATTCATCGACGTGAAGGCTGAAGACCGGTGAAAGGGTGTCGGCAGGCTAAAGGGCATCATCGGCGGTGACGGGAAACGTCAAATGCGGTCGCGTCTTAGGTGGGAGTTGGAGAAGTTGCAGTCGGAGTCGGTCGTATTCTCGTCAATCTCCGGTCGAAGCTAGTCGTCAATCGATCGTGATTTGGGAAGACCAAATAAAGCTGAAGCGGTGAAGCCCTAAAATTAAAAATAGATTCCCATTTGTATATATATATATATATATATATATATATATATATATTATATATATATATATATATATATATATATATATATATATATATATAAAACGGGGCCCCCACGGGAGTACGGGACGGAAATACTCACTCCCGACCCCGGTCCCGAAAATAAACGGGGGTCCCATGGGAACGGGGTCCCGCGGGGGTTTTTGACATCCCTAAAACCCGATAGTCCCTAACCGAAAATAGAAGCTATTCTAGGTCAACTGGATCAAAAGTAGTAGCTTCCTTGCACATTAGATAGTGACATAGTAAATGGTGACATTCGACACCCGTCAGCATGTGCACGTAATCACCAAAACATGATTGCCTAAACATCGTCGCATAAACTGGTTGGTTTTGTAAGCACGCCATGATTTTGCGCCCAAGTTCAGGTCTGCAGGTTGTAGTAACAACTGATGTGTATGTTCTATCGTGCTACAATCAAAAGAATTATTAGTTAGAGATTTTTGTATGTATGTTCCGGAGTGGAATTAGGGTTTTTTATTGTATTCCGGAATTAGGGTTTTTTTTATTGTATTCCAGAATTAGGATTTTGTATGTATGTTCCGGAATCCGAAAATCGGGTACGGTATTTCGGACCATAACTTTCAGACCAAAATTCCGGACCCAGTTCACTGTGTTCCAGACTTGACTTTCGGATTCCGAGCACGTTCCGGACTAGCAAAAAATAGGGTTTTTGATTACGATGTATCATGTAGTATATATTTATGTCTATGTAATCCTATAATTGCCTTAACAAGATTAAAGTTCATAAAAAACCCTATAATACCTATATAATTACGTAAACTAAACATTTTTTTAATGTATAATAAAAATAAATGCATTTAATTAGAAACAAATTTGAAACTTACAAATAAAAACTACAGTTCTTCACTGCTAGCAGAATACATTTTCAGTTGTAGAGGTGTCCAGAATGGGATATTGAAGTTTAGTCTGAAACAAGAGATGTCGAAGTGTAGTCCGAAACAGGTTAAATTGTATTTTATGAGAACCAAATTACCAGGTCGAAATTACTATCCGCTTAACCGAATTTGAAATCGGGTCTGAAACAACCCACTCCGACCCAAGTGGTCATTTTGCCAAAAAAAAAAGGAGGTTTTTTAAAAAGAAAAACAATCAAAAAAATGGTTAGATTACTCAGCTTCCCTTTATTTTTTGTTTTTTAATTGTTACAGTAAAAAAATAAAAAAATAAAAAAGATAAATAAGTTATTTTATATGGACACTAATCAATGGAATCTCTCTACATTGTTAGACCGAAGCACCTGAATAGGAAAATGGAACCATACGGACTAGTTACATTTTTTTTTCAAAACTTGTACCAAACTTGCACTAATGGAAAACCAACGGGACCAAAATTGTAATTTACTCCGAGGGTATCCATGGTTTTTAAGATGGGCCGCCTCTCTGTCTCTGTCTCTGTCTCTCTCTCTCTCTCTCATCCGGTTATCCAAACTTCACACACACATAAAGAAAAAACGGCCGGCTGCGATCGTTTTTCCATCTAAAGGTTCCGGCGAGTATACGAGCGGATTTGGTGGAAGTAACGGTGTTGCAACGATGGCTGGAGGAGCAGCCGAACAGCAGTACGCGAAGGCGAAGATATCTGTCTGGTGGGACATAGAGAACTGCCAGGTACCTAAAGGCTGTGAACCTCATTCGATCGCTCAGAATATAAGTTCTGCTTTGGCTAATATGAACTACTGTGGGCCAGTGTCGATTTCCGCTTACGGCGACACCAATCGGATCCCTGCGTCTGTGCAGCAAGGCCTCAACAGTACCGGCATCTCTTTGAATCACGTGCCCGCCGGTATATACCCTTATCAAACCTACACTTACACGCTTAATTATATAAAAACTGAGTTTAATTTGATGTTCAACTGGAAACGAGTTTTGTGTGTATCTTGCTTTGAATTCAGATTGTGGTGAAAATCGAAACCCTAACACGACGTATACAGAAATATGTTTATTCAAATTCATACATACTCAATTCGACTGTTCTTTTAGTTTATTTATATTTGAGAGCTTTCAAGAAGATTTGGTTATTAGTCATTTCTTAGTTCAATTGTTGGATGAACGGATTATGGTGGATTGAGTTTATTAGCCCTAATATTGATTATATATTTTTAAATCAAGATTTGATCTCTGGAAAAGTAAAATTTTGAAAGTTCTTGTGCTTTTATTTGATTGGTGATGAAAAAAAAATGCAGTTATGGTTTGTTTTAAAAATTTAACTGTTTATATTTATCGTCACCCATCTACTATTCACCTTCTTGGCATCTTCTTATCTTGTCTATGGTTTCTTTCTTTATTAAAATGATTTGCTAAACAGTTTTATTTGGATAATTTTGAGGTGAAGTTGGATGATACCTTATAACAGTTATTAAACCTCATCATGCCTTATAACAGTAGATAATGGATTGAATTATAATTTATACTCTTCTTTTTAATGATCAGGTGTGAAAGATGCAAGTGACAAGAAAATATTGGTAGACATGTTATTTTGGGCAGTAGATAACCCTGCCCCATGCAATTATCTGTTAATTTCTGGTGACCGGGATTTCTCAAATGCATTACATCAATTAAGAATGAGGAAATACAACATTCTTTTAGCTCAACCTCAGAAAGCTTCCATATCCCTCCTTGCTGCTGCTAAAAGTGTATGGCTATGGACCAGTCTTTTGGCCGGAGGTCCACCAATAACTACCGGTGAATCACCCACACCTGATACCACCTACAACCACACTCCACCTTCTAACTCACTACATACTCCAGCTCCCGAGTCAACTCATATGCATCAACCCTTTGACAACCACATGTATCCACATCCACATCCCCAGCAATTTGCAAATATGGCAATGCCTCCTAACTATCTTTCTCATCTTCAAAGGGCCATCCAAGAGGCCAATTATATGGAAGAAAAAACCCGTTTATCTTCAAACCCGGGTGAGAAACGAAAATTTGAAGGTTCGCCTGGAGCCTCATTTAAAAAAAATCGCGTCACTAATAATAATAATAATAATAGTAATAGTAATAGTAATAATAATAATAATAACAAAGGAAAGAATCCTAAGAAGGGAGGGATTCCTCTGTGTCTAAGTTGTAACAAATATCATTCGGGTGAGTGTCAGTGCCCACGATGTTTCCGATGTGGACAGTTGGGTCATATAAGCACTGACTGCCCGAATAAAGAAATTACGTGTTTCAGATGTGGTGAAGGTGGTCACAAATCTGACACGTGTCCAAAGAAATATGTTGCACCTAAGAAAGCTAATAAGAAAAAAGTGTCCCCCATAAAAAAAGAAGCGAGTGATGCTTCACGATGTTACCTCTGTGGGAATTTGGGTCATAAAAGATCCAATTGCCCGAATGAAGGTCAACAGGTAACATGTTTTGGATGTGGTCAACTTGGTCACAAAGCTGGTGAGTGTCCAAAGAATAAACAGAATGGTGAAAGTAGTAAGAAAGCTGACACGAGTCCAATTAAAGAAGATGATGGTTCAACTTCAATTGCTTTAGCTAAGAAAACCGAATTACAATCCGAACCGCAGATACAAGTATTAAACATGACTACCGCAGAAGCGGTGGTGGTGATTCCTGATGTCAATGTCGTCTCCTCAGGTATGCATTAATTGTTTGATCAGGGTGAAATTTTGTCATTTATATCGGTTGTGTTTAGTCATTTATAGCCAACCAACTATTTCATATGTAACTGCAAAGCAACTTTTTGCATGTTAATATATGTAGAGTTTACCAACTATGAAAGTTGTTTGGAGGTAACCTACAAACAAAGTTGTTCAAGATATAGGTCATTGTGACCTGCTATAGCAGGTTTACCTCTTACCTCTCATAAATCCATTTTTTTTTTCACAATTTTGCCCCAAGTTTTAATTTTTGTTATGAATTTGGTTGCAAACTTTTTTTTTTCTTCCAAATTTATTCTCTCTCCCTCTCTCTCTGTATATATATATATATATATATATTATATATATATATATTTGTTTTTAACGAATTAGTAATTTGTTTTGTACATTGTTTGACAAGTTCGTTTTACAAACTTGTTTTTTACTACTCTTTTAAATAAATTAGTAAAAACCTGCAAAATTGGTTTTCATATTTTTTTTACATGCTTATTACAGTTTTTTTTTTTTTTTTTTTCCTTACGAATCAATTTTTTATTTTTATTTTTTTGGTAAAAGAACGACTTAAAAAAATTGTTGTCTTACAGATTTATTTTTCAAAAGTTCACAAAAAAGAACTTCTAAAATATTGTTTTTTATTTTTTTTTTATTTTACAGTTTTGTTTTCTACAATCTTAAAAAATCTGTAAAAATGAAAACTAGTATAAAGCATGTAAAAACGAATTAGTGCATGTTTTTTACAAATTCTGTAAAAAAGTTGTTAGAAGCAAACTTATAAAACTTATAAAACATGAATTTTAAAGATGTAAAAAGTGGTTGGGACCAAATTTGTAACAAAAACTAAACTTGGGGCAAATTTGTAAAAAGAAGTTGGGTAAATGACGGGCGATCTAATTTGAACAAGTTTCATAGTTGGTGATTACCTCTACAGTTTAGCTATAATTGACATTATTTTCTTTTTGGAATCGAATGGATTGGTTGGGTGTGGGTGAAATTCTGTTTCGGAAAAAGATAGATCCGTGTTTGTGTTTGTGTTTGTGTTTGTCTACTGGAAAGGATGCAAAACTTTTATAGGAATCACCAAACCAAAGCCATGAGAAAAGTTATTTATTTATTTATTTTTTTGTCTGCATATGTAAGTAACATTGATGCAAAGAAAGGAATGAGTGAGAGAATACATTTCGTGTATGGGTCTGGGAAGTAATCTATGGACCTGTCTCTGTTCTAAACATTAGGTGGTTGTTGCCTTACCAACCAATGTGGATTGCTCTTCAGCATCTATCACATGATTTACTAACTCATTACTCATTAGTGTGTCTAAGATGTCATCAATTATTTGACTTTCCTTACACATCTGATTCTGTTATGTGTATCCTTCCTCATATTTTTTGTTGAATAGTTTACACATGGGCATATTTTATATTTGATTTCAGTCGTCTATAAAAAGCTCATGACTCACTAGATGTTTTGTCATCGACGTATTTTTCTTTCGGTGTGCAGCTGTCCATGTAAGTCATGAAGATGGATTATCTAGCCCTCCCTTCTGAGACTTAAGTAAGACTACTTGTAGATGCCTTTAAATTTGACTTAAATTTTTTTCCAAAATAATCATGCCAAGTCTAGTTAGTGAGGTTTTTTCTTTTTATACCGGGATTTAGATTTCTATGCTGTGACAAGTTTTCTGGTTACCTTTCATATCCTTTGATTTTCTTTTGTATTTCTAGGGTTTTCCTCATACAAGACTTGCCTTGCCTTGAGTTGAAGTTTTCAAAAAGATGTTCTAATCTCTAGTTTGAACTGTTTGGCTTACCATGGTTGTACATTTTAAATTTATTGAACAAAAATCTGCAGTTATCTTATGCTTCATTTCTCTATTTTTGCATTTTTTTAGTTGATTGACACTCTCCTTTGAATTGAGAAAGTATATTTTAATATTGTGCTTTCATTTTTTTCTTTTTCTTTCTATTAAGACATTGTGCTTTGAAAAATGTATCCAATCATAGTGTTGATTTATCAAAGTTTCTATTTATTAAGATGTTATATTTTGAAAAATCTATCTAATTATAACAATGAAAATATTTTTGTATTTGGATGACATTGTTATGATTTGATGGAGTTTTCAAAATAAATATTATAATAGCAAAATTTTAATAGTATTATGTAATAAACAAAAAAAAGTAATTTGTTATTTCTTTCATTTAACCCATTATCTATCAGCTTATCTCTCACTGTCACTCTGCATGGTAGTTTTCATGTATCTTCAAATTTTACTGAATAATAACATTGTATTTTCAATATTTTTGTTAGAAGTGGCACATTTTACTTTAAATTTTTTACCCATAATATTATGAAAATTTATTTTGTATATGAATGACATTTCTTTATTTGTGTGAATTTGTCTAAAACAAAATTGTTTAAATAGAAAAAATGTAAGTATGATGCTATGATAAACATATGAATGAAAGTACCTTGCTATTTCTAGCATTTAACCATTTTCCTATACATCTGTTGTCACATGGCTTCTTTTACTAGCTTGTAATTCCCATATATCTTAAAATCTATCCAGTGCATTGTACATTGAAAAATATACCAAGTATAACTTTGTACAATGTATTTTCATAATCTTTTTTTATCAGGACATTGTATTTTTTTTATTAGGACATTGTATTTTAAAAAATCTACCAATTTATAACCATAAGAATTATTTTGTATTAGATGACATTGCTATAATTTAATGGATTATAGAAATAAAAAATGATGTTATAATAAAAGTAAATAAAGCTATGTTTGAATCTGTTGTTACATGGCTTCTTTAAGTAGCATGGTAGTTCACATGTATCTTAAAATTTCTGGAATTATAGCACGTACTTTCAATCAATATTACTATGACATTGTACTCTAAATTCATCAAATTATAACAATGAAATTGCTTTTTAGGTGGATAACATTTCTATAAATGGATAATTTTAAAAAATGATACAATTGAAAGAAAGTGAAGTAGGATGTTTTAATGAACAAATAAATAAAAGAATGTTGTTATTTTTAGTTGTTAATACTTTGTTGTATCTTATAGTATCTCTTTTGTGACCACGTATCATAGATGCAACTGACAATATTTTTTGGTGGACATGTTATTTTGGGAAAAGTTGAAAACCTGCCTATTTCCCGGTGGTTGAGACTTCTTCTCCAATGTATCTATCATCAACGCTCTTACTCAATATATATTCTAATTTTTTTGTGTTGGCTTAGATGGCTCAAATAAACCAACCCTTATATATCCAGATACCTATCTGGTATTGGAAAATTTTCAAGCATGTGAATGGGTTATATGTACGTAAAGAAGCAAGTATATTTGTTCACAAAGAATATGCTAGTCGTGGTATCTCTTAGGCTGGACGGTATGGATGAGGGAAACTTTCCCTCTCAGCTGAACATCATCCCTTGACTGAGAAAAAAGTGGTGAGGGATCCTATTCCCTCACTCTCTCTCCTATTCTTATTGGCCAACTTTTTTTTAATACTTATTAAATTATATACCTACTAAAAATTATAAAAAAAAAATATATCAAAACTCATGGTTTTTAATTCCCTACAAAATGAGTATAATATTTATAGGAAATATATTTTAAAAAAATAAATAAAAAAATAGTGAGGGAAGTTTCCAACCCATTATATATAAGAATTTAGTCGAAATCGACTTGGAATTGATGGGTCCGCCTTACTTCCTGTCCCTTGTTTGGTTGTGGACCTAGGGCAGATCCATTATATTCGACGGTGTATTTAACTTAAATCTTATATAACTTATATACACTGGGTGATTATAGAAGGAATCTACGGGTCTCTCTAGGGTACATTATTGCATAACATAGGAGAGTTCATTTCGTGTTTAATAAAGAAAATATTGAATTTTGAAGCATTGGTGAAGGAAAGGAAAGTGAGGGGAAAAGGTGGTGCGGCCCACAAAAAGTGAGGGAAACTCCCCACTCATACCCTCCGGTCTTATCCTTGAGAAAACTACCGAATCTAATTGCTTTCTTGACGGGATTGCCTCCTGACGATCATTCTCATCTTATATCTATTAGGTATTAACATGCTTCACAAGTTCATCCAAAAGACCAAATATATCAAAGCGAATGTGTGATAAAACTGTTTCATCTTCTAAAAAGTTATTGTGATGGTAAAGGAAAGAGTCACATGTGAACATTCCTTGGTGTCCACATTGTAATTCTAACAAAAAATTGTTTGGTGTAGTAATGTTTCTTGTTGTTACTATTTGGAGAATTGGGTTAGAAAAGACGTAAATGCCCGATAGAACAACATTAATGTATTTTAGATGTGGTTAAAGTGGCCGTACAGTTGATGTTGGGGATTGCCTCTTGACTATTGTTCTCATCTTATATCTTATTAAGTATTAACACGCTTCACAAGTTCATCCAAGAGATCAAATATATCAAAGTGAATATGTGTGATAAAATTGTTTCACCTTCTTAAAAGTTTTCTTAAAAGTTATTGTACCGGTAAAGGAAAGAGTCACATGTGAGCATTCCTTGGTGTCCACATTGTAATTATTTAAAAAAAAAAGTGTTTGGTGTAGTAATGTTTCTTGTTGATACTATTTGGATTATTGGGTCAGACTAGACATAAATGCCGGAGTATAAAACAACATTTGACGTATTATAGATGTGGTAAAAGTGGTCGTACAGTTGATATTGGGGATTGACGTTCAAAACAATAATATATTAAAAAAGCAACAAAAGCAACAACGTATTTTAAAATTTTCAATCTCAAAAGCAATAGATCTATTTAGAACTAATCAAATCAACAACATTCAACCATAAGTGTTATGAGTGTGAATTAAGACAATCTTAATGGTTGATCCATACAGAGTAGTAAACACGAACTGCCAGAATTCCAACTGATCGAGCACACCTTCTTTCCTAGAGGTGAGCAGCGGAACAGGTTCCCGCTATCGGAACTGGAACCGCCTCGGAACCACCTTAAGTTGTTCAGGTTCTGTAACATCCCAAAATCATAATAATTTTTTTCATTTTTAACTAAAGAGAAATCATTGTTTTCAATCGAACCCAAGTCATAAGAACCCAAGATCAAGTACAAATGTTCCAAAATCAAAAATCATAATAAATTTTTTCATTTTTAACTAAAGAGAAATCATTGTTTTCAATCGAACCCAAGTCATAAGAACCCAAGATCAAGTACAAATGTTCCAAAATCAAAAATCATAATAAATTTTTTCATTTTTAACTAAAGAAATCATTGTTTTCAATCGAACCCAAGTCATAAGAACCCAAGATCAAGTACAAATGTTCCAAAATCAATGTATCATAACATCTCCAAAATATATCACCAAAGGATGTGTACGGTCACCCATTTGCTTTCCCCGATCATCTGAAGTACCTGAAATATAAAACTAAAACTGTAAGCCAAAACTTAGTGAGTTCTCCTAAATTACCACACACAACCAATATAGATAACAACATGCATATATGAGCCTTCTGTTGGATTTGGTATCTAAGCCATAACTATATTTGGTATGTACTTGACCCGATAGTAGCATGATCCTTTTAGGTTGTCTTCACCAAAGCAACTTGACTGGATGAATTATGGAGAAGGAGGTTAATTATGATTTATTAATATATTATGTGAATAATATATTAAAAGAGAAATCACATTATTTGATTAATATTGGTCAAAATTTAATTTAGAATTAATTTTGTGGTCAAAAGAGATTAATTAAAATAATGGGACTGATATTGTAATTATTAGATAATTGCAAAATAGGTTGAGGATCCCTAAGTTAATGGGTGGACGAAATCTTATGGATAACCCATAAGGATTTCGTCCAAGGCTAGTGTTCTGGAAGGATCCTATGGGCTGCATAGGGCCTAAGCAACCAGATTAGGTATTTGACTGAAACCCTAATTCCTCAGCTATATAAAGACCCCTTGGGCATCTAATTTTCGGCCACTGGAACCCTAAGGATCTTAGAGCCGATTTTAGTATCCTCCCCCCCCCCCCCCCCCCTCTCTCACTCATATTCTCCAACTTGCTTCTTGGTGTTTGTGATCTATTAGAAGTATTACACTTGTGATACCAAAGCTCTCAAAGGTTGAAGATCAAGCTACAATTGAAAGGTAACATTCTAACTTTGTTTTTTGTTATGATTTCGATTTTATGTATGCTAGATTAGGGTTTACAAGCTTTGGATGATTATTGCATGTACAATTAGAAAAACTAGATCCAAAGCTTTAGGGTTTGCCTGTGCACCATAGGATTGTTGTTTTGCTCAAAACGCATCAGTGGTATCAGAGCCTTGGCTGTTCATCTATGGTATTTGATGCAAAGTTAAATCTTCAAAGCTGGAAAACTTCGATTTTTGGTTTCTGTCTCGACTCACGACGTGACACAGGGCTTGTCACGACGTGAGTGCGGCTCTGTTGCAGAATTTCAAAATTTTTTGCCCTAATTTGATTTGGATAATTACCATAAATTATTTTTCAAATTAAAATCAAATTTTTCTGTAATTGTAATTGATATCCTAATCAAATTAAAGAATAATTGTATTATTTAAGATAATCACTTGTTTTATATGATAAAAAATTAATTATTTGTATTTTTGATTTGAATTATCATGTCTTGAAAATAGATTAGGTCACATTATGTGATAAATATTAATTATATGATATTTAATTATTTTTCAAATTTGATCTAAAAGATATTTTGAAAGTTTCAAAATTTGCCCTCAATTTTTGGAATTTAAATTTTAATTAAAAAGATTTAATTTTGTAATATTTAAATTCTAAACCCTAGAGTTTTAAAAGTTTAAAATTCAACCCTTATACTATTATACTATTAAAAGATTAATAATTGTATATATATATATATATATATATATATATATATATATATATATTTAAAGACGAGTCAGTCTTACCGTTAGTAGACCTTTTAAACGAAGCCGG